CTACACAACAGGCACTGGTAACAGCACCACAATCAGATTTGTCACCTATCCAGATTTTCAGACAGGTTAAGTTTTAGGCTGAAGTCTAAAGCGTGTTTGTTTCAGCATCCCTGTCAGCAGTACCTGATGCTGGCTCCCTGTCAGGCCACAGGACAGGGCACACCTTCATCCTGTACATTCACGCGTCCACACCACTCCCAAGTAAGAAGCTTCTCCCAAGCATCCTGACTCCATTAATGGCCTCGTATGGACCACACCTGATGGTGATCCCTTCAACTACTCTCCAGTCTACTCAGAAGCAGCTGAATATTCATCAAGCACTGACCTCAACTATACAGTAAGCAACTCCACACAGGTAACAACAGATTGCCAATAGCTGCCTGGACAGAGTCACTCACCCCGTGGCTCACAGACAGCACCGAAATGAGAAGCCATCACTGTGGATCACTTGGAAGTAGTTCACAAACAGGTACCAGTACAGGTTTTAACAGTTTAGAAAGCTATGGCCTATGCAGCTTTAGTCATATTTAATTAAAAAACAAAAGTGACAACAGGAACTAGAAGTGGTTGCAGTTCTAGCTACAATAAAGAAAACAATTAACCTGTGGAACTTGCCAGAAACTCACAAACTCTTTAGGTGTTTCAGTTAAAAAATAAAACTGCTATTTAAAAATTTAATTCCAGCAAAAGGTATTTAGCTACCTAAGCATGCTACCCTAAATATCAGTAAATAAAAAACCCCTAATGTCAACATATTCCATAAATGTTAAGTAAGGACTCATAACAAACCATTTTAGACTTACCATATGAGAGATTTCCCAAGAATACAGATCGTTTATTGTCATGCTAAAGAAAACAAGAGATGCAAGGCAGTAAGTTATTTGTTACAGAAAAAACAAACAAACAAAACCAGAAAAGGTGTTTTCTTGTCATACATCTTACTTACTGAACTGTTTTTTGATGCAATGTCAACTCTGATGTGAAATCCACTAGCAATTTCTGTTCCATTTCTTTCGTAGCCAAAAGCAAAAAGTTTTAATAATGAGTAAACATTATTTAATTTACAATGTCACTGCACAGCATTATTCCAAAAGCAAATTTACTTTAAGTTTCAAAAAACCATGTTATTCTGGTTCAAGCAAAAGAGATGAGGTAGTTTAAATTTATCTGTAAATCTACCTCTTCAACAGGGAATGAGGAACAAGACTTAGACTTACTTGTTTAGAGCCTTAATGGCATCACATTCTTCCTTAAATACAACATAAGCGTTGATGAACTTTGCGTTAGGGTGCACCTTATGCCTGGAACATGAAAAAGACAGTATTATTTATATTGTTTAAACAGTTCTGATGGTGCACAGTGCACAAGCACTTCTTGTTAAACACATTTATGCCTCCTCTTGCTTTGTGCACAGTAACAACTTTGTTTCTCTTACAGGTCAAGCTAGCTCCTTATGTCCAAGGGAGTCTCACTGTACCTCTCATACAGCCTGTATATACACAACCTGACCAAGCTTCCTCAGCTCATAAATACATCAAAAAGAATTAAAGACTATTAGCATCTTTCCTAAAATATAAGAAATGCAACCTAAGATAATGAACTACTAGTATACCAAGCACTTAATTCTTTTCCACTTGTCAAGAAAACTTAACATATGCACAAAGGTAACTCCAAAAGTCAAAGAAACACAAAATCAAAAAGATTAATATAAGCAAACATGTACCACACTTAAAAATTTTTTTGCCTTGAAAAATAAAGCACAAAATTCACAAGAGGAACCTACTTTATTGCTGCTAACTTTTTGGATAAAGTATCTTCTGCTGGAACCTTTAAGATAAAAAGAGTTTCAGTTAAGTGGGCCTAGTTTTAATTTTATCTCAAATGTTTGTTCTTGAAGACAAAGAGGAATTCAAACAGGCACCATTCCCACCCAAAGCAATGTAGCCAGTAGAGTGAGCAAGTGATGGATGGAAGTGGCTATTCCTAGAGATGAGCTAGAAAGACCCCAGAATTAGACAGCTTGCTTTGACTTCATCTGTTACGTTTTTTGAGTTCCAAGACTGTTATCTTCAACTACTTTACAGAGTACGCTGATTTACAATCAATGTGTCTTTGCTACTGTGATTTAAAAACAGGTAAGTAACACCTTAGCTAAACAAGCAACATTAAAGACGTTCTTCTTCCAGAGCAAGTACAGCTCTGATAATATCAACTGCTGCTACAGGAAGAGTAAAATGGGATGAAAGGAAAGATGCATCTGTGGTGCCTCTCATAAAATATCCAAGGCTTCTTCTAATGGCAAAAAATACACACCCAAACCCGCTTCTGAACCAGTGAAGATACAAGCCTTATGAATACTATCCTTCAAGATCTAAAAATAATTTTGTTTTACAACATTAGAGGAAATAACGTACCAAAGACCGGAATCGAATAGATTTTATTTGTCCATACTCTTTGAAAAGAGATTTCAGCGCCTAAACAGAAAGATAGTACAAATATTCAATACACTTTCTGCTTCCTGGTAATAAGAGTCACTGCTGAATATTTATTAGTAAGATTGTTTTTACACTATTTCCATTTTACTTATACAAGGTCTGTTAACGGGCTACTAAAAATATGCAAATAATTTGTAACTGCTTCTGCATTTCTTGCGGCAGCTTCTTATTCTACAGATTGACATAACTGAATTTGTACCCCTTACTATGGAAGAAAGTGTCAGTTTAACGTATTTTATGCAACAATCTGAAGTATTATTTACATCCAAAATTAGAAGCAGACCAACTTTGTAACTGCAGTTCTCACTTATGAAGTCATTTTTCACTGAAAAAGAAACTAGCCAATTCCACTAAAGAGAGAGCAACTACATGCACTGCTGTAAAAAGCCCAACTCCAGCAGAATAAAAGAGGTTGCCTCTAATGGTTTCTGATAACGAGCATTCTATCCTACTTTCCCAAAAAGCAATTTTAGTCACAAATGTGTGTGATGTTTCAGCTGGAAACCTCCCCTCAAACTAAGGCCCGTTGTGACCCTTTTCATTCCTTTGGCTGACAGAACCCACTCACATACCTGAGCAGTACAGCTGACGGGCAAGTTTCCAACAAACACTGTTCTTCTGTTTACTGTTTCATCAGGCACCTTTTTTTCCTTCTGTCGTTTTACAGCTCTGCCTGAGTTAACACCACCGTTGGTGACGGCATGAGAAGCCTTTCTTTTTTGCTTGGTTTTGTTTTGAAACTGTTCTTGCTCCTCCGCTTCATCTGCCTGCTCCAAAGCGCTCTCTCTTATCAGAAAAAGATAAGCAAATTATAATTGATGGGAAAAAACCCAGAGTTTTTGAGGTCAAAGAACTGAAGTCTCCAAGATAAATATTTTCACTTACATTTTAAATTATGCCCAACATAAAATTTCAAGTGTTATTTTGCTTATTTGTATTAAATAAACATATCTGACCATTCCATAACATGGAAAACTATTCGCTGTCCCCAGAACATTGCATTTGCTATTTAGCAGGAGTAATAAAGAAGGAATTCAGAATTAAACAATGTGATATCCTCTAAAATTGAGGGGGGAAAAAACCCCAAAAAAACATCTTTGCACACTAGAACTAAGGAGAGATTAATTCTTCCCAGTATCCAGGACACTCGGAACAAACAATCCTTTGGGATCCATCCATGCACTAACAAACCCCTGTCTATCCAAACTCGCTGTAACATGCCACCATCGAGGAGAAGCAGATCTGAAGAAGCCTCTGCAAAGCCACTGACACCAAAACAGCAAACAAGTTTCATGGGCACGGAAGATGCAACAACACGTGGTGCCAGAGAGAGGCAGATGAGGCCTCCAGCTACAATCAAGCAAATTCCATTACCCAAACTTCACTGTGCCCAGACCAGCTTCCCGCCTGCACTGACGGGATCTTGGCTCAACCCTGAGAGTTTCAGGGAATGAACAGTGTGGGAGAGTAGTTCTGTGTCACAGCAGAGGACAAGCGTGACAAGGACAACTAACTCTGCCTGGTACCTCGCTGCTGCTGGCACCTCCTCTGCTCCTTTGACCACAGGTCTGCTGGATAAAGCCAACTACAAGTTAGAAAGCATCAGCCTGTGCCAGGGAGAACTTTTTGTCGTCATCTACAACCTCCAGACCCATCAGCTCTGTAACAGGGGATCTGCAATTCACAGACATAGAACTTCTGGGGCAAACTAACAGAAAACTTTCACAATCTTCTTTAGGTTCAAGACGAATAGTAGAAAAGAACTTTATTGTATCACTGAGCTCACAATCTTGTGAATAACCTAGATGTTGTTTTTTTAATCTTACTGTAAAAAGGTATCAGGTACTCACCTGTTTGCCAGTTCTTCCTCTGCTTTTGAGAGTTCCTTCTTTCTGGCTTTCTTTGCTTTTACAGGAGGTTCTTGTACGAGGGAGGAGCTCTGGTCTTCTGACACTTCCTCCACTTCTTCTGTACGCTTCCTTTTCTTATTGCCCTTAAGTTAAAAAAAAAGAAGAGGAAAGACTCCAGAAACGCCCCACAATTATTTTTCACGCTGCAATTTACCTGTGGCGCCCCTGACGGCAGCCACC